CCAAACAGAGTACAAGGGTCAAATGAACACCTTGAAGGTGTTCATTTGGGTTGGAAGGTGGACAAGAAATAATAAATAGTTGAAACACCATATCAAATATTTTATTTATGTTAGGGAACATTTTTTAGTCACCCATGTCTTCTGCACCGATACAACGAGAATTAAATGCTACTTGATTCGTGTCAAAGGATATGTGGATGATGCTCTGACTGTTAAGTTAATTTACAGTAAGTGGTATAATTATAGTTTATAGCACATGTGTATTATTGTACAATATTTGGTTGATTATTTTATAACCTGGCACGCTTTAAAAGGCTTATAATTCATGTCATGCTATTTAACAATTTTATCATAAGTTTGGGATTTCTGGTGGGTATTGTTTTTTTTTTTTTTTACTGCGTGGTGTCTATCAATTTTCACGTATATGAATCAAAAGCAACAAATATACTTTTTTTGGCTATCATTCTAATAATCGTTCAAAATTTAACTTAGAGAAATATTTATTTTTTTTTGGTAATTTTTTTTGTGACCTCACTGTTAGGCTACTCACTCCTCTCACAAGCCATCACAGATACTACAATAAACTAGACAACATACGCATTTTCATCGGTTCTTAATCGTGATCTATTGGAGAGGAGACGCCGAGACTACGTCACCGAGAACAACATAATGTTGCATCCTTACTATATTAAAAAGAAATGGCGAGTAGCGAAGCCAATCAAACTGCAGTGTTGTTTATACAACACTGGTAGATTTCTACCAACAGATATAACTGATGAGTTTATGTTCCTTAACCTAAATGATAAGATCTTTTTTACCGTGTTCACACCATGATTTCTCTGCTCACTTGATACGGATTTAACCTCTGTAATGCAAGGAATGCTTAGGTAGGGGTAACAAAATTATTATTAGTAGTACTTAGTTTAATTGTCATTAAGGACTTAATCAATCAATGGCTAAGGTATCAGAGAGTACAACTTATCTTAATGCCACCAGAGTTCCTACAGCTCCTTGGTCAATCAAAATAAGATCTTTAACAGAACCCTTATTTACTGTGTAATTTGGCTTGAGTTGCTCTAGATTAAAATTGGTTTACAGTTATAATTGCAATTCATTATAAATTATTGCTTAAATGAGGTGCCTGGGTCATCTAAGGATGTCTGCTGTGTCCAGCCAGACCGTAAATGAATATCTATTCCCGTGAGTGATGTGGCAAATTCCCACACTTCAGCCACAAGCCCGAGTTCCAGCATAGTTAATAGAGGAAACCTCTATTAACTATGGTTCCAGGCATTTATCAATACTTGCTAAAGCAACAGAAAGGAAAGGTAGCTGAGTGTGAAGGTGCAACTTATAAAAAAAAAATAAAATAAACGCTACAAATCCACTTGGGATTGCTGAGAAACAGTTACCAAAGTGCTTGTAAATTTAGAGATGGTAGCTGTAATGAAGTTGTTACATCTCTTATCAGCCCTTATTCACTGTACTCATCGCTTACCGCAAAGGTGGCTCATGA